TGGCAGTGTCCCCAGTGCCAGAGCGTCTCACCCTACAGTTTGGGTGTTCTGCTCTTCTATCCTTTTAGACTTTTGTGCAGACTTCACAGTCTGAGCATGACAGAGTATGGGCATGTGAGGAGGTGTGAGTGGGTGGAGGGGATCTAATGCCTGTGTCCAGGAGGGGATGCTCAGCCAGGCTTCTCTCTCCGGATGCTTCTTGGAGATTTGAGCTTCTATGACCTGCTTGGGAAAGAGAAATTCTAATCTTTCATTTCTATGACCTCTTGAAGAGGTGGCTATGAGTCAGGAGCCACAGACAAAGCGAATAGACATTTTATCTGAGTTCTCATATCTTAGGACACTGACAGTGTTTTAGGAGCCAATACCAAACGCCTCAGCCTCATGACAGTGTGAACAAGTTTGCTTTGAAATGGTGGATTTTAGATACTGATCTCTTCCTAGCCAAGCCACTCACAGCATGATGCTCCCCCCTCAAGATGCTGAAAAATAGCAATGGACCGCAGCCAGATGACCACAAGGGAGGATGAATGATACTGAAGTGCCATGAGGCTAAGCCACCAGCTGTAGGCTCTCAGTGACTCTGAGCTCTCTGGCAGACCTGATTACCTCTAGTTCATTACTACTCTCTTTAAATTCCAAAACTGTCTCCTGACCTCCATAACCTCACAGCCTCCCTTCCCAGGCACCCTCCAGGCACCTCACCTCGGCTTCCGTGCCATTCGGCCTCTGGTCTTATTCTTGCCATCCCTTCTGCCAAGCACAATGCTCCTCCTGACTCACCGTGTCCCTATACTGCTCGCCTTTTGGCAGCCAATCCAAACACCATTTTTCACATACCTTTTGTAGGCCAGATCATCTGGCCTTACTGCTTTGTGCTAGAAAGTTATACAGATGAGGGGGCTGGAGACATGGCTCAGAGATTAAAAGTGCTGGCTGTTCTTCCCAAGGTCCCAAGTTCAAGTCCCAGCAACCACATCGTGGCTCATAACCATCTATAATGAGATCTGATGCTCTCTTCTGGGCAGGGTACTGAATAAATAAACATTTTTTTTTTAAGTTGTCCAGATGATTTGTGACAGAATGGTGCCTGTGTTCATGTTTGTTGTTTTCCTGGCACTGTCCCTACAGGGGATTCTTTATTTGCATTTTATAACACTTACTGGAAATGGCCTTCTCTCCTACAGATGAGGAGCTGAGAGCTCCTGTCAGCACCCACAGCCCCACGTCAATGGAAATCGCGTATTACTCCTCTGTTGCTGTGTTCACATTGCCTCAGAACTTCATGGCTCACAGGGGTAGGGCTATGGTTCAGCTAGTAAAGTTCTTACCCAGCATGCATGAAGCCCTGGGTTCACTCCCCAGCACCCCCATAAACCAGGTGTGGTAGCACATGAAAGACTGTTGAAGGACAGAGGCAGAAGGAGCAGGGGTTCAGGGCCATCCGTATCTTCAGCTACATAAGTTCAGGCCAGCCTGGAATAAACGAGACCATGTCTGATGGGTGAAAACAACAAATGTTAGCCTACACAACTATGGGCACCAGGAACCCAGAATAACAGAAGGGTGTCAGGCCTCCCACAAGATTGTAGGTGGCCATCAGGCTCCACAGGTACTGTGGGATTTGCTGGCCAGTGGGATTGTGTGCAGACGCCTCTGTTTTCTCCAGGCAGACCCTCCACAGGCTGTTCCTGAATCTCCACTCCATGGAAGCTTGTTTCCATGAGCACAGGATCAATCATGGGAATTAGAGGCTGGGGTGCCTGCCATTACCACTCCATCAGTGTCAAGCTATAGATTCAGGTCAGTGCTGTCCCATGTAGGCTGGACCAGCTTGGCATGGAAAGCCAGTGGCAGGTCAGAGGCTGCCATGATTCTTTTTCTTAGTCGCCAGGTGCAAAGTGTCCTCAAGCGCCCCCAGGGCTGGGCCTCACCAGTGCGGTATCCCCAAGAACAGGCAGCAGCGGCCCACAGAGCTGCCTGCAAAAGGTAATGTGTTCACAGCTTGTGGAAGTTCCCCTCATGTGCAAACTCCTGCCAGCCAGATCTGTGGGTTCGGCTTCAATCAAGTGAGAAGGTGTGACCCAGGCACCCCCAGCAGCTTACGTTCATTAAGATGGAGGTGCAAAGGACCAGCGGAAAGGGGCTGAGTCTCCTTCCAGGATGCTCCAGCTAGGAGGGTTTTTGTTTTGTTTTGTTTTCCTGGGAAGGGCAGGTGTATGCATGTGAGGGACAGCAGGTGTCTGGAGTATGGAGGCTATGATGGGGGAGGGAAAGTGTCTGGTGTGTGATGTGTGACGTAGAACGTAGAGTCATCTCGACCACCTGAACCCAAGGGGGAAAAGGAGGCTGCATCTTGAGTTGAGCTGAAACTGTCACGTGGGATGACTCAGCCACCTCCTTGAGGGCCGATGGGAACTGGCTTCCTGCCCAAGGCTGCAGGTGCTGCTGTCTGGCTACTTCCATTTACCCCACATCTGTTGAGAGGCACCTGCCCTGGACCACTACGGAGAGCCAGTGATGGCGATGACAAGAGTGATGGTCGTTTACACTTTTCAGCAGCCGTAAGTATTCTGGCTCCTCGTGCTCATAGCCTCCCTCTGAGGGGCAACTGCTGCATTTCCCACCTCTCCTTTTGCTAAATTGGCATGGCCACTTAATCCATTGTGCCAGGCCTTGTCTGCTGGGTCTTTTGAATTTGTCCCACGAGCTCTCTTGTTCTGTCTCTTCCACTTTTCCTTCCCGAAAACCTCAAATCCTGCCTGCCAGACTTCCCAGCAGACCCACTCAAGCTCTTTCCCCGCTGCTTTCCACCTCAGCCTTTTGTCCAGATACCCCTTTGTTTCCAGCCTCATGGAGGGTTCTGCTTGTCCACTGCTCTTCCGATAGCCCTCAGCTCTTTGGGAAACTCTCTGTTGGAACATCTTGGTCTCGTGAGCCCTTTGTACCTCAGCTGAGGGCAGCAATAGGGGTTGCTTTGGAATTGTCCTCATGTCCATCCCTGCCCTCTGCATTTGTTTTTCCTGCCTGGGTTAGCCCACATCTCTCTTGTTAGTGACTACCTGGCTAACCCCAAATGTCTGGTCATTCCTGAAAACTTAGGCTGTGGTCCCTGAAATGCCAATCAGGAGCTCGGGGGATGGGTAGGGCTGGACCTGTCGGGCTTCCCCTGCAGAGTGACCACTGAGACTCCCTGCCACCACCATCCTGTTCATACAATGGGCCCCTTGTTTTTCTTTAAGTATGTGTGTGTGCACCTGTGCATGCCTATGCATGGTGTGTGTGTGCCCACAGAAGCAGGATCCCCTATAGAGCTACAGTTACAGGCAGTTGTGAACTGCTTGGCATGTTGCTTGGAATCAAACTTGGATCCTCTGGAAGAGGAATAGATACTCTTCACTGCCGGGCCATCTCTCCAGCCCTTCTATCTCTTCTGTTTTTTTTTTATTTATTTATTTATTTGTTTATTTATTTATTTATTTATTTGTTTATTTATTTATTTATTGAGATAATCTGTGTAGTCCAAGCTGGCCTCAAACTCTCTATGCAGCCAGATAACCTTGAATTTCTAATCCTTTTGCTTCCACACCCCAAATGCTGTGATTACAGGCATGCATCGCACCATGTCTGGTTTAGGTGGTGCTGGGAGTCAAACCCAGGGCCTTATGCTAGCAGCCGGGCACTCCAAACCCCAGTCCAGAGCCTTGATGGTGGCCAAGGCCCAAGGGTCACAGAAGCTAGCTTGATTCATCTCCATAGCCCATGCCTATGCTTTGGAAGTAGACGTTTAAGCATAGAAGTCCTGGGGCCTGTGTTGTAAACTCCAGTGTTAGACACTAGAGTTGATGCTGATGATCTGTCCCTTCCACTCTGTTAGATACAGTATAATTCAGAAGCCACATGAATTGTGTACACGGCCATTGTAAAGGCACCAGTGTGCTCTCCTCAGAAGCCCACATCTGTACTAGGGTGCACACCAGCCTTTGCCTATCAGTTCTCACACCAAATCAGTCTGTCTCAATGTCCATGCTTAAAACTATACTAAAACTATTTCTTTTCTCCTGTTTAATTTTTATTTTTTAATATTTATTTGTTTGTTTATGCTTTTTTTCCCAGATAGCCTTGGCTGTCCTGGAACCCACTCAGTAGACCAGGTTGGCCTCAAACTCACAGAGATCTGCCTGCCTCTGCCTCCTGAGTGCTGGGATTAAAGGTGTGCATACGACAACCCAGCTAAAACTATGTCTTAATATCTCCAGCTTTGCTGCCACTGACAAATGGACTTTAGTGTCTAATTTTCGAGGTTTCTCTTTATTGTACAGAAAATGTTTAAGATCCTAGCCTAAAGCTGGCTGTGGTGGTCTATACCTGTAATCCCTATACTCAAGAGGCTGAGGCAGCAGTATTAGCAGGAGTTTAATGGCAGCCTATGCTACAGAGTGAGGCCTTTCCTCAAAACACAACAGCAACAAAAAACAAAACAAAAAAACAAACTAAGGAAAGATCCTGCCACAGTTCCTGAGTTCCTGTGAAGAGGGATTCTCACACAGTGTGTCACAGATTTAAAAATCACCTGGTGTGTTTAACGAAGAAACTACCAGCTGCAAGCCTGGGAGCCCCTGAGTGGTGAGGCAAGCTTGTAATTAGTCATCACTCAAGAGCTAGAGGTAGGTCATCCGTGGCTACACTGTGAGTTCAAAAGCCAGCTTGGGCTACATAAGACCCTGTCTCGACAGCAACAACAAAAGTTAAAGTGGACCCAGTGGCAAGCAACAGTACTTGTTCTACCAGGACAATGAATCCAGAGGTCTGGTAACTGCTGTCATGCACCTAACAGTTACTCTCTGGCAGTCCTACTCAGGACTTAGGAGCCCAGACATGGTATATGAATAGGCAGGAACGCTTGAATCCGGAACCCATTATCTAGGCGCTGCACACGGGGACAGATTAGATCGACGGACACTTTTCGCCTGCGGACATTTTTAGTTGTAGGACTCATTCCGGCCCGATTCACACACCTGGCCGAGCTCTCGCTCCGGTGCCCCACCCCCTGTGACCCCCGTCTGACCCCAGGCGGGCGCGTAGCAGAGAAAAAGAAAGAGGGTGTCAAGGTGAGCTGGAGCTTGTCGTGGGGAGTGTGGGACCTGCTGGGCAGGTGTCTGTCATCGCGCGAGAGAAACTTCTGCTGTATGATAAACTCAGCCCTCCCTGGGCTGGTCACACGAAGCTCCTCCCTTTGATTTGTTTGCACTGAGCACCGCGTGGGTTCCAGGTTGCCAGAGGCCTGGCTCCGAAGGGCGGATTGGCCCCAAAAGCAGACTATGGCGTTGGGATTAGGACCAGTGTGTTGGCAAAGAAGGGCTGCTGGACTTGGAAGCGAGTCTGGGAATTCCTCTGAAAGAGAAATTTGTTGATTCTCATCCTGGGAGGGAATTTGTTTGTGGCCAACCACTAAGACCTGTGGGAGGCTTCTGATGCTGGTGTAGGAGCACAGGTCAGCCGAGGACTGTCTCTCTAGGGGAGTCACTGTGAAAACGTGAATGCTCTTAAGTGTTCTCAAGGCCAGTGTGATTATCGTGAAACGAGTGTCCCTGCTGTCCTCGGACTTGAGATGATGGCTTTCCAGATGGCTTTATTATTATTATTATTATTATTATTATTATTATTATTATTATTATTATTATTATTATATTTAGGGACAGGGTCTTTTGTATCCAAGCTGGCCTGGAACTTACTATAGCCAAGAGTACCTTGAACTTCGGATCCTCCTGCCTCCACTATGACTATTTTAGGTGGTGGAACAAGGGCTTTCTGCATACTAAGCAGGCACTTACCAATAAATGCCCCAGTTCCCAGGGGTCTTTTTTAAATGGTAGTTTATCATCTAGAATGGATATAGGTTTCAACATCTTTTTTTCCCTTTTTCTTTTTTAAATTTGTGAATGCTGCTTTAACATTTAATTTTGACAGTTCCTAAACCACAGGTATCCTATGGCATTCTCTGTCATCCCTGGACCTGAAAGGGGTCAGGGGACCATGCACAGCCAGATGCCCTGAATAGACAGATTTTGTTTTGCTCTGAAGAGCTGGCTCTGACTGGATGAGCTGGGAGTTAGGTCAGCACTGACAGATGTTTAAGTGCTTGGGCCAGGCTCATGCCTGAAAACCAAAGCAGCTTTAGAGGCCTGGACAGGTCCCATTTCCATAAATGGGAGAGCAAGGCAATGCCTCCGAGGGGACATGATAGAACTTATAAGGACTGAAGATGGCCCAACATTGCCACCCCAGCATGAATATAGTTGTCCATATGGGATTCAGTTTGCCCGTACCATCAACTATCCTCACTGACTTACCACCTCAGGGTCAGTGTGTCCTGCTCACAGGGGCCACTGTTGTTCCTGGTGTGGGCATCTCATGGCAGAATGAGGGCCCCATGGGAACTGTAACTGAGTCTTTTCCACAAGGAGTCTGTCTTGACACCTCCTGATGCTCAGTGTCTGTCCACAGTAGGAATGCCACCAACCTTCGGGGCTCAGGAGGGCAATGGTGTTTCCTCCAGCTGTGCTATAGGTAGTGTCCAGGTAGAAGTCCGAATTGAATCAGCAACTCCGCCCACTCTGAATCTTGTGGTCACCCGACTGTGTTGCTTATGCCTGGTTAGCCATGTTGACTCAGCCCTACCACCTCATGGGGTGTGGAGGTGTCATGAGGAGGGTACCCAGTATATTAGTGGAGGCCAGCAACCTATTGTACAAGCATATTTGAGTGTCTATGAATGTAGACACAAAAGTCCTTGGGCTTTTTCTGAAGACCAGTGGTTAGTTTCAGCTGAACTCTTTACTACTTGTGTGAGCATCCTATATGCACACCATTGTATCCCTAAGGTCATAGTATTAATGCACCACGGGAGAAAAGGGTTCAACTGTTTGTTCTACTGCTGAGAGGACTCAAGATTCAAGCTCTTGGCCTCCCCAGGGCTAGAGGCCTATGTCGGGACTGCTCTCCCATGGCCTTATGTGTTGTTTCTGTGTGCCATAGTCTCTTGGGGATGGTTCTTCATCAGGAACCCAGCCTTGGTTCCTTTGTGCAGCTTCCTGATGCTGATGAGCTCCCACACCTCCCTGAGGGGCAGCAGGTGCTGCTCCAAGCGCTCGCTTCTCCAGTGCTTCAGAAGGCCAGTTGTGCCGTTTCGGAGACTGTGGTGTTGCGCTGTGTTGTCTCTTCTGGTGTCTCACACAGCAGGTCTTCTGTGTGAGTTTCTCTAGTTTCTGTTCCCTCGTGCAGAGAAAATAGATGAATGTCAGATGTCTTGCCCTACCTACTCATCCATTCTTCCCCAGAGCATTCTGAGACATCTCCTGCTCTAACTCCCAGGAATCTGGTCACAAGTCTATAACTCAGAAATACCACAGCATGCCTTCTCTTTGAGTTTCTCTTGCTTTTGGCATCTCTGACTGTAAAGCGAATAGGGAAGAATTTGTTAGAGTGAGAAATGAAGCACCCTGGCTTACTTTATGCTTCCTGACTTCTGGAAGCCCACATGGCTCTTAGGTTCTTGGCTTCTCTTGCCTAACCCTGCTGTTTCCTTACATTTGTCAGTTTCTTTATAGAAGTAGAAATCCAGAGTGTGAACAGCCCAAGACCTCTGAGCCCTTATGGAGCAGAGCTGAGAGCAGCTATGGGACTCTCACTGCCTCATCTAGACCCCATGAAGTCTCGAGGAGCCAGAGTGTTTGAGAACTGACATATGCAGAACCAGTGCACACATAGACTGCAAGCAGCCACAGAGAAGTGAGTTTAGACTTTTCCTGCTCTCTTGACCAGAGCACCTGGCTAGAGGAGAAAGCAGCCAATGCCAGTGAGGAGGGACACAAACAGAGTCATACCCAAAAATCTTGAGCACAGAACAAAATTTAGTTTTAGGAGTATTTGTTGATGTAGCTTTTGTTTTGTAAGATAATTATTGAAGTCTTGTGAATAGTTTGTATTTAAGAGAACAAGGCTGCCACCCTGGTGGTGTGGTGGTGATGCACCTTTAATTCCAGCACTTGGGAGGGAGAGGCAAGCAGATCTCTGAGTTCAAAGCCAGTCTAGTCTAAAAGAGGACAGCCAGGGTTAGACAGTGCAACTCTGTCAAAAACAAAAACAAAACAAAACAACAACAACCCTGCTTTTAGTACCTGTAGCCGGTAATGGTATGTTAGCTTGCTCCTGGCAAGCTAAGGAAAGAGAAAAGCTGGTATGTGTCAGAGAGAGCATGCTAGTAGCCACAGACCTCATGGAGGGAATGTTACATGCTGATGTAGAGGGAACCGAAAGGAGAGGAGGCAGGGTATGGTCGTTTTTGCCTTTGTTCTTCTAGGCCTTCTAAGATAGTGCAAGGCTTCTAGCTTTCAGCCTGAAAATGCAAGCTGTTGTGTCGGTCAGGGAATTTTAGACTCGTGGCCTGGGATGGGGGCAAGGTTCCCATCAGCAGGTGTTTAGTATTGAGTCTAATATCCCAACATTTAGCGCCTCTGTAAGAACAGGTCACAATACCTTCGGCCCACCGTAAACCATTTCCTCCAGCTCAGCTATGCCTGCCAAAGCAGGTGTGGCCTCTTGGCTCATGTAACTGTGGTTGGGGAGGCTGCTCTAATGAAAGCCACAAGTGATTGCGGGCTAAGTGTGGTAGAAGCCAGAGAGCTTAGTGAGAGTGATGTGTCCTAACTGCCGGAGGCCAAAACAACAGGATGAGCTGGCCTGCTAACTGGCAAGCAGGCAGTGAGGACATGTGACTCGAGAGTTATAAAACCAGAGGAAGGAATGTTGCTAGCTAGCTTTGGAAGGCAAATCCAGAATATTGGGTGGCCTCTGAACCTGCTAAGTGCCCTGTGCAGAGCCGGTGTGGAAGTGTGATCCTCCCCTACCCCCCACTCTGGAATGGACTTCAGGATCCCCAGAGGTGATGTCCAGTGGAACGTTCCAATAGAGCAAGCAGTGACCTCCCGTCCCTCTCCCTAAGCACCCACACTCTGCTTATTTCATTTACAATTTAGTAGTTGTATTGGAGAAGTCAGAGTGAAGAGTTGTCTTTCAACCTAAAGAGGGGAAAGGAAATAGACTGCTGTTCCCAAGCCCTGTGGACTCGCCTTTCTAAGCCCTGCTGGGTTGTAGTTCTGAATAACTGTTGGGACATGCTGGCAAGAAGCAGCTTTGGGTCCTCCCTGAGCAGGCCATGTCTCAGATGTTACCTGAGGGCAGCAAGGGTGACTTTTAAGCTCCTGCAGTGCTTGCTTCTACTGACTAGTGATTTTCCAGGCTCAGAATTCCAAAATCTGGTATTCAGGATTTACCGTAAGTATACTTTATTTGCTTTTCCTAACTTAAAACTATTTGGGATTTTTGCGTTTTTGAAATCTTAAAAAAAAAAAAAAAACCTAAATAAAAAGCTTTGACACTAGACACTTTCTAACAATGTGCTATTGAGAGTCTTAGCCTCTCTGTTTAGGAGATGCCATGTTAAGAGTTTCCGCAGCCTTGTGGGGTGTTTGGAGGGTGTATTTTAAACCTCGCTGTGGGCAAGGCTTGCGTGGGCCAGGCAAACACTCACACACTGTGCTCTCGTCCTCCCAGCTCAGCCAGTGGTTTGTTGGTGTGATGGTACCCCACTTGACACTACCCTTCAGGCGTCTCATCTGGTCCTTGGCCTCCAGTCAGCTGGTTCCCAGAAGACACAGAGGACACAGCCTCCTGCATACGGCTCCAGAGGCCCGCACGGATGGGATTGCCCCAGTGTTCCTCCGTGCCCTGGCCTTCGGGGACAGGATTGCCCTTATTGACAAACATGGCCGTCACACCTACAGGGAGCTCTATGACCGCAGCCTTTGTCTGGCCCAGGAGATCTGCAGGCTTCGGGGTTGTAAGGTTGGCGACCTCCAGGAAGAGAGGATCTCCTTTTTGTGTTCCAATGATGTCTCCTATGTGGTCGCACAGTGGGCCTCCTGGATGAGTGGTGGTGTCGCAGTCCCGCTCTACTGGAAGCACCCGGAAGCCCAGCTAGAATATTTCATCCAGGATTCCCGGAGCTCTGTGGTCGTGGTGGGCCAGGAGTACTTAGAGCGGCTGAGTCCACTGGCCCAGAGGCTGGGGGTCCCTCTTCTTCCCCTCACGTCTGCCGTCTACCATGGAGCAGCCGAGCAGCCCGTAGAGCAGTTGGTTCCAGAGAGGGAGTGGCGTGACCGGGGTGCCATGATCTTCTACACCAGCGGGACCACAGGGAGGCCCAAGGGTGCACTGAGCACCCACCGTAACATAGCAGCTGTGGTGAGTGCTGGTGTGCTCCGGAGGCCTCTGTTTACTCACTAGCCCAGCCTCATTTACGGTCACCACTGAGTGGAGCCCTGAGATGCTTCCCGGGGCGGGCCTGCTTTTTTCAGGGTCATTTACAGCTGTCACTGCCCTGCAAGTTCTGAAATGCTTGGTGACAGGATAGCAGGTTCATGTGGCCCATCCGTACATGATGGTGAGGCACACAAGAAGAGGGGTCCTAGGGGTTCACTGAATGGCTTCTAAGACCTTATAGTCACATAGGCAGGCTATATGATCAGGACCTAAGGTTGGGGTTTATGAGAGCACCAGGATCAGGAGCAGAGTCTATGTCGATTCCCGCCTGTGCGTTGCCCTTGTGTTCTGTCACCCCCAGAACCACCCTGGAAACCTATCAGCCCTTCACTCTGTCTGATTCTGCTCACTTTTTAAGAAGTATGTGTATGTACAATGAAGTCTCCTGTACAGTAAGCACAATACAGTAAAGTGAAAGACAACACACAGAGGAAGGCAGGTTCCTTGGCACACGCACGAGAAGCTTGGTTCCAGGCATCAGGCACACGTGTGTGCAGCAGCACCGCTGGAGGAGACCATCGCCTAGTAGAGACACGTGCTACAGTGGCCTGCTGGAGCCTAGTATCCCCATCTTGATGGTTCAGGAAACACGAAGGAGCCTTGTGCACTTGGCTTCTCCGTGAGCTGAGAGCACGCCTGGAACTGTGCCTCATGACTGCTGTTACAGCTGAGAGGGTGGCCGTGGTGCAGGGACACAGACGGCTCAGCACAGGTAGTCAGCCGTGCTAGGCTGGTCCAGATTCTAACCTGAACTCTGCTGCAGTCCGTCCTTGGCAGGGACCACACTGGGGGCAGCAGTGCCACAGTGCCACCTCTGCCTTCCACAGGGTTTGCAGAGCCAGTTCCTCGGCTTTCTAAGGTCTCTGCAGTCCCAGTACGTGTCCCCTCACCTGGCACGTGAGAGAACCCAGGTACTCCCCACCTCAGGAGCCTAAAAAGAAGAAGCCTCTTCCTTCTCTTTCTCAGGATCCCCTAGACCAGTCGTCTGCCAGTGCTGTGCCTGCACCCTCTCCTCCCTGTTCTTAGGCAGTGCTGCTCCCCACAGGTGACTGGGCTGGTCCACTCATGGGCATGGACAAAGAATGATGTGATCCTTCACGTCCTCCCGCTGCACCATGTCCACGGCGTGATCAACAAGCTGCTGTGTCCGCTCTGGGTAGGAGCCACCTGTGTGATGCTGCCTGAGTTCAGTGCTCAGCAGGTGAGTTAGGATCGAGGCTTCCCAGCAGGCCCATGAGCTTCTGTGTGCCCTGTGACCAATGACTACAGCCGGAGGGTTAAAACATTTGCCGGGTGGTGGCTGTGGCAGCGCAGGCCTTTAATCCCAGCACTTAGGAAGCAAAGACAGGTGGATCTCTGAGTTCAAGGCCAACCTGGTCTACAGAATGAGTTCTAAGACAGCCAGAGCTACAGAAAAACCCTGTCTTTAAAAAGAAAAGAAAAAAGAAACCTAGCATACATGTTATTAGCTCTCTGGAGGGCAGAATCTAGAATGAATTTGAAGGTTCCATGGAGGTTTTTGCACCTTGTTTTTTATGGCTTCTAGAGTAGTCACCTCTCCACAGCCTCTCCTGATTGATGTCACTTCCCTGTGTCTAGACCCACAGCTTACTCCCATCTGCACCCTTGGAGCAGGACATGAGCAGCAGGCTGTCCTCTGCCTCAGCGTCTCTGGGTCCTCTGCAGAGGAGCCCACCGGAGGACCCACTGGGGTCACTGTACTCTTCCCTTTTCCAGCAGACAGAAAGCAGGGCCGTGGCCTTGGCTTTAGGGAGAGGGGGTGGCAGTGGGGCCACCGTCACTGAGCTGTGTGGCATCCCCTGTGAAGGGCAGCGTTACCAGGGCAGCAGCTCAGGCACTGCATTAGAGTGTCCTCTCACTGCTGGCCACTTCCACGCTGGGAACTGGAAGGAGCAGGTCTTACACCTTTGTTCTTTCCATCTTCTTTCTGGCTCTGGGACCCCTGCCTGTCACTGTAAGATACCAGAAACTCTTGCTGGTCTCTGCAGATGACGCTTGTTGGGAGTTTGAGGATTGCGTGAGGAATCACCTCGTTGACAGTCTGGAATTTTCAGTCCGTGAGCCAGCCTCTGTCCTTGCCTGTGTTGACAACTTGATAGTCTTGGTCCCATCCAGCATGCTTTACACTGTCACTGGTTTCTTTTCCTCCCAGTCTGGATTTGATCTGCCCACCCTCACCCCAGTTTGGCCTCTTTTGTCCTTGCTCCTGCACTGTGTGTAGTCTGTTGCACGTCCCTGGTTTGTTCCTGTTGTAGCTTCTGGTTTCCTGGTGTCTCTTCATGGGATTGTGCAGTCCTCACCCCATGTTTCCTGTTGTTTATCATCTGAACCCCTGACACAGAGTGGGGCGCCTTTGTGCCCTGGTCTAATAACCCAGCACCTGGCCGTCCGAGCTCTGCCTCCATGGATTCTCTCAGTTCCTTTTGCACTCTGTAGTCAGGGAGTTTGCATGGCTCTGTTCTCCTAGAAGTGTGTTACCGCTGTTGGCAGCTGAGGTGAGGTGAGGGCTCATTATTAAAGCTCAGTGATAGGTGACCTGCACAGGCTACACCTATCACTGCCGTGTGTGTGTGTGTGTGTGTGTGTGTGTGTGTGCGCGCGTGCGCGCGAGCGAGCTATGGCACTAGGAGTCGGGTCAGGACCACAACAATGTGGAGCTTGCTTGGCATCTGGGAGCCTCAGAGCCACCAAATGATACCAGCTTTTCTTAAAGATGATCATATTGAAACAAAAACCTAACTGGTGAGAAATTTAAATGTCTTACACTATAGCTTATTAGAAGTTTATTACAGGGTAAATTCAAAGTTCACATGAAGCTTTTGGATAAGACCACAAACCCACCTCTAACCTGCATGGAGCACCGGCCAGATTCCTGAGGTGGCCCTGTGGTCCCTGTGTGGTTGCAGCTGAGGCTGAGGTTGCTTCTGGCCTGCACTTGCATCTGGACTGTTCCTCCTCACAGGCCAGACACAAATGTACCATGGAATGTTTCAGAGGCACAGGAGCCCCTCAGAGCTGGAGCCAATGACGGGCACATTCATCTTACCCAGGAAAAAGCTTCCATCAGGAGGAGAGAGACCTGGAGTGGAGGCAGGAGGCAGCATGTGGCCAGCAGCTGTGCTGCCTTCCAGTTGCTGAATGCTGCTTTCCATCTCCCGTAGGTCTGGGAGAAGTTCCTGAGTTCTGAGGCCCCACGGGTTAATGTATTTATGGCAGTGCCCACCATCTACAGCAAACTGCTAGATTACTATGACAAGCACTTCACACAGCCTCACGTCCAGGACTTCGTGCGTGCCATTTGTAAGGAAAAAATTAGGTGAGTGGAATGAGCCCACCCTCCTTCCCGTGAGGCTTGGCAGTCAGTAGGCATCACTCATTCACAGTGTCTCTTCAGTTCTCTCCCTTTAAATGACAGCTCTGGGCATCGGTAGCCCCTGCACACATCTGTGTTCTGCCCTCTGCCTGGATTCTCTCTCTCTCTCTCTGTCATCCACACCCGCGCATCTGTCTTCCTCAGCACCTGTCTTTCATGTCTCTGTCTGCTTCTCTGCCTGTGGAAGGCTGAGGACAGAGCCAGCCTCTTATTGCTCCACTCTGGCCTGATTCTCTGAGGCCTCCCCTCACTCTGCACCTGCTGCTGACTGCCCTTCTGCCTCCTGGACAGGCACATGTCCTCACAGCCATGAGCTGAGGCCTGTGGGTCATTCAGTGGCATGAATTTTGCCTGTCTCTCGCCTGTGAGCTTATGGACATCGTTTCTTTCCTGACTTTATGTTGAAGGGTGATTTACTAACTAGAAGCAATCCTAGTATGGCTCCCTTGGCCAGCACACATGGACCAGATCCACATTTCCAGCAGATATGGGTAGGCCGCTTCTCTTCTGCCAGAGGGACAGGGATGTGGCACATGGAAGGAGACTGAAGCTGGCTGACAGAATTGCAGGGACAGCTTTGATTTAAAACTCCAAGCATGAGCGCATGCCTGTAATCCCAGCACTCAGGGAGGCAGAGGTAGGGGGATCTCTGTGAGTTTGAGGCCAGCCTGGTCTACAAAGTGAGTCTAGGATTCCTAAGGCTACACAGAGAAACCCTGTCTTGAAAAAAACAAAACTAGCATGATCAGTGTGGGTGCAGCCACTGTGCATGTCCAACATCTGGGCCCAGGAAGGGACATCTGGATGACTCAAGACTAACATGAGAGCATCGTTTTTGCTCTGTCTGCTATTCTTATGCTTCCTTTCCATAAAGATACTTTGAAGAAATCAGAGCCCTGTTTCTGGTGGTGGTGCTGCTGGCTGCCTCTCTGGGCCCTCTACCTGGGCCTGTCCTCTGAAGCATCTGGGGCATCCAGTGCTTAGGAGCCAGAGCCAGGGAAGGACCAGTAGATCCTAGCCAACCCGTAGACCCACAGGCACCATTGCTGTCTCTGAAACGCAGACTCCTTGGCAGAGGTGATGAGACTGCTGAGGCTCCTGGTGGCCACACACTTCTGGAGGAGAGTGGGGCTGGTTCCCACCTCAATTCAGATGGCACACCAAGGACTGTCCTTTCTGCACGCCATGGGGTGGTAGTGGAAAGCACCGTGGGGGCTCTTGCAACACTACCCCACTGTCACTGCCATTATCACCCCCTTGTGTGTCTTTGAGCTTCAGCAGCTCTGCTTATACAGTGTCTGCCTCCTCCTGCGGGTGTTGTGGCCTCTCCTCCGTGAAGTATGCAACCTCATCATCACGGTGTTGTCATGATCACTATGGTTCAGGACTGTTGGTGAGCCGTATCATAATTATTTCCTGCGCCACCAAAGATGCTGCTTTAGCTAACACCCCTTTGTCAGACCTGCTTACGTTTACATAAACACACTGAAATAAAAAATGTTTGTTAAAAACCAGTTTTAGCCAGGTGGTGGTGGTACATGCCTGTAATACCAGCACTGGGGAGGCCAAGGCAGGCGGCTCTCTGAGTTCAAAGTCAGCCTGCTCTATATAGTGAGTCCCAGGACAGCCAGGGCTACACTGAGAAACCCTGTCTTGAAACACTCCCCCTAAAAAAAGAAAAGGAAAGGAAAAAGTCCCAGTTTTAGCCCCAACTTACTTTTGTCATGAATGTAAGATACAGAGATGGAAGAGAAATGTGTGCACTTAGAAGGAGGTGTGTGTGTGTGTGTGTGTGTGTGTGTGTGTGTGTGTGTGCTGCCCCCATCAGAGCTAAGCCCCTGTGGTTGTGCTGCCTAGGCTGATGGTGTCAGGCTCAGCTGCCCTGCCTGTCCCAGTGCTGGAGAAGTGGAAGAGTGCCACGGGCCACACACTACTGGAGCGCTATGGCATGACGGAGATTGGCATGGCCCTGTCCAACCCCCTGATGAAGGCTCGCCTGCCAGGTACCAGCTGCCCCTACAGCTGCTTCCCTTCCATTTCCCAGTGCCCCTCGTGTGGCTCCTGGTCCACTTGCACTTAGATGAGAGGTCGTGGAGGACACTGCCCTCTGCAGCAGACTACAGGGCCAGGAGCACCTTCTCAAGGTGCCAGCTATCCCCCCTGTCTCTTCTCTCCCACGTGGTGGTGGAGGGAGGACAGTAGGGTACTTCGTCCCAGCCTTGCTGGATCATTCGGGAAAGAACAGGACCCCAAGCTCAAGTGAGTGGCAAGTACCCTTGGAGAGAGCCCAATCCTTAGGGCAGAGTCCCTCCACCAGGACCTCCTCCACCCTCAGACAGGAGCTGAAGTCCTGAATTGCCGTTCTGGGGCTTTGCTTTTCTGCTGTGTGTTCATGTGTCAGTGTGTGTTCACCAGCGCCTCTCAGGTACCTGTCCGTGACCAAAACATAGATCTGCCCCTACTGGGAACCTGGCACCCATCCCCAAACACCTACCTCCTGTCTGTCCTGCGCTGTGATGGTGTACCGGTGGTGGACCTGACACATAGTACTCACTTGGCTTATGAGTTTGTTTGTTTAAACTGCTGCCATGTGGCCAGGACTGTCAGGGTATTTTCCATGTTCTTATTTCCACCCTCATGAGTCCTGAAGCCAGGGGGTTCCAGCATCCTGGCTCTCTTCCTTTCTTTCTGAGTGGATTAGGGGGATGCTCTGCCCCAGTGTTTAAGGAAGTACCGGGGATTGGGCAGAGGGCTCTGGCCAGGCAGGAAATGGCAGAGGTCCAAGGCTGAAACAGGCATGGCTGTGCTAGGCAAGAAGCAGAAGTGGGGAGAACAGGTGGCAGGGTACCCAGACAGCAGGCTGTTCTGTGGGAGCTGGCTCACAGAGTGTAGGGTTGGACTTGTGAAAAGGCAGTATGTGAGCAGGAATTACATATCAGACCCTGGAGACCACCGTCAGCACCTGGCCATTCAGCCAGCCTGCCTCATGCCTGCAGTGGCCATCACGTGCCAGTACCATGCCTGCAGCAGCTCTTTCCTACCATGGCCATGGCGGCCTGGCAGAAATAAGATGGAAGGTAGATCCCAGACAAGAGGAGCATGTTGGGTCTCCCTCCTTCCCTCCCGGCATCCTTATTGTCAACTGTGACTGCCCTGACTAGGAGGCTGGCCTTCTGCTGAGCTCCTGAGTCTTTCGAATGAGGAACCGACCAGAACTTGAGCACAGTGGGTTTTCAGCCCAAGAATGCCAAGTCCAGCTACCAACTAGAGCTACAGCAAGACAGATTCCCCTGAGTGGAAAGGACTGGCAGCAGGAGGCTCGGTCACCGCTTTCCTTGGGAGCACCGTGAAGTGTAGGTTCTGTGACTGAGTGGAGGGTGTGTGGAAAAAACCATACAGTAGAAGTTTTCTTCATCTTCTCACATGTCCCTGGTGCTAGACTACTTTATACCACCACAAACCAGGGGACAAAGCTGCCCAAGGTCACTCAACCTGGGAATAGACTCATACCTTTGAACAGACTCCCAAGCTGTGGGGAGCACACTGGTCTGACAGAGAGCCCAGATTTGATGGGGGTTTGGGGGATGGACAGCTATAATGAGAGCAAATGCAAGGGTAAAGAAGGAGGCCAGGACAGGAAGGAGCAAGCAGAGGGCACCACAAGATGGTTCATAAAGCCAGGGGATTATTCGTATGTGGCCGAAGGGAACCATTACACAAGGCCACGAAGAGCATTTACACCAGGCCATGGGGACTACGTTTATAGGGCATTGGGGACTGTTTGCATGAGGCGATGGGGAATCATTCCTACAAGGCCATGGGGTCCATTCTCATGAGTCATGGGTGCCATTTGTGTGAGCTATTTGGGACCATCTACATGAAGTATGTAGGAACTATTTCACCCTAAAGGTATTAAAATGTAAGACAAGAAGCCCAGGTTAGCAGAAAGGAACCAAAAACCCCTGACAGCACCTGCCTTTGCTCACCTCTTGTTGCCCGAGTAGAGTTCTGAATTGCTGCCTGTATCTCACTTGGGCTGGTAGGTTGAGTGTGGGATGCCGGGGACAGCTGTTCTTCTCTAGAATGGAATCGAGTACTTGTGATTTTGACCCAGACATGCAGCCCAGTGTAGTCAATTTTCTAGTTGAAAAAGCAAACAATGGCCTTCTTACCACACCCTTAGCTCAGCCCCTGCTGCTGCAGGACACTGAAGCCTTGGCTTCTGGGCCAGTGTTTTGTTTCAGCCAAACGATCTGAGCTTATGTCCTAGCTCTTTTTGACTCCACACCATGGCTCCCAGAAGTGATCTCTGTTGGTGAGCCCCGAGACCTTATTTCTGTGGTAGACAGAATGTGTAGTCAGCTGTGAGGAAGAGCCCAACCACACCAGCCTGTCACTCCTCTGGTTGTCTCTGGTAGCTGTAAAGGGATACAAAAAATTGATGGTCTTGCACTTGCTGGGTCTAATCACACTGTAACTGGGGCTGAGGTCAGAGGTGCTTAGAGCTGCAGGGCACAGCATGACAGAGCTCTGGGACCTTGTCACTGGGTTCACTTCTTAGGACCCAGGTGTGCAGAGATGAAGTATGCCCTCACGCCCTCAGAGGTGGAGGCCAAAGGCCAGTTTGTTGTCTAGGAAGAGGTGACACCATTCTCAAGCATGACCAGCTGTCGGAAAAATGACTGCTGCCATCTGCTGGGGCCTAGGAGGGCCCCTGTCCCCATGGTGTCAACTTCAGATGTTCCTGGAGCCTCTGTAAGTGCTCAGGTGCCCTGTGTGTGGGTGTGTCGTGTGCATGAGGGACACAGCAGAATGGACACACCACACCTACTTACCAACAGTGGCTCTTAGCCAGGCTCAGCTCCACTCTTGGAGTTCTGTAATCCCAAGACCTGAAAGCAGCTCCCAGCCTGGTGGGAGCTCATGTGCAGCTTGGAGCCAAGGGACCCTAAGGCCTCTAGACTAGGGATTTAGCAGATCTGAGAACTGAGGGTGCAATCCTGCCTCTGAGGGAAAGTGGCCAGCCCTGTTTACAGTTGCAGTACCTTGATGAGGATCTGCTCAGGGCATGCCTATGAAGTTCTATGAGTCTGACCCGTCTCACTTGATGGTGATCCTTGGGCTAGCCCACTTCCAGCGTTGCACTGGCCTAGGTTTGTTTGTTTGCTCGTTTGTTTGTTTGTTTGTTTGTTTCCCCTAAGGCAGGGTTTCTCTGTGTAGCCTTTGCTCTTCTGGACTCACTTCATAGACCAGGCTGCCTCAGACTCACAGAGATCCACCTGCCTCTGCCTCCCTGAGTGCTGGGATTACAGCATGTACCACCATCCCCGGCCTGGTCACACTGATTTTTAAAGTCTTAGAGCCCAAATGATAGAGCAGGAGGGATGCTACTGGGGTGGGTGACCTAGTTCCGACTAGGGGTGAGGCCTCAGCATCTACAGACTTGGAGCCAAAAACTCCCTAGGGCAGCTGTCCTGTCAGCATGCCTCATCTAAAACAGGTGCAGACAGACCTCACCATGAGCCTGAACCTGAGTGTCTGTGGAGGGTCCGTTAGTTGCCATTTGGGAGACTTGTCCTGTCACAGACTCCTTTTAACTGCAGTGGTTAAATTAAGGGTCTAAAACTATAAAGTGAATTCTTAGGAGAAGAGTATGTTTGGACGTTGGCCTCGGGCCTGGGTGTGGTGGCCTTGCTGTTCTCCACCCTCTTCCTGCTGTTCATGTTGGCACCAAGGCATGTGATCTTGGGCCCCAAGGCAGCAGCAGAGTGATACTTCAGCACAGAGCATTATGCAGAAGCATGGGGACTTCTTGGACACATCCCTACCAGCTGGGTTCTGTCTCACCATTGCAGGAGGAGATGTAATTTCAGAGGTTTGGAGCAGCCCAATATACAGAGCAAACCATAAGTGCCTAAGTGTAAACCCCACACACTTCCACATCAGCCCTTCCTGGGACACACCAGTGGCCTGCTTTAGTGAGTGTGCGCACATACCTGTTCCCTCATATAAAATCTCCCCTGGGTCACCCAGCTGAGTGGCCAGCTCTCCTTGACCAGGCAGTGCTAGAGAAGAGTCCACCATGGCAGTGGCAAGGTGGGTGACCCCCAGGCACATGACCAACAGTGGGTGTCTCTGGTTGTGCACCAGAAGCTACTGCTGTAGCCTCACTCACATGCACACTTGGCCACTGTACCACATCTTTCCTTTCGGTCTCAGAGTCCATTGGTCTCCTCCTGACAGTGATCCCAGTGTCTCTGATACACGAGGAAGCATGGCCCAACCCCAAGAGTGTAGCTCTTTGGTTCCCACCTTCTTTTCTGTTTTTCTACAGGTTCTGTGGGGACCCCACTGCCAGGAGTGGAAGTGCGCATCGTCTCGGAAAACCTGCAGAAGGGATCCCCCTACACCGTCCATGCTGAGGGGAATGAGAGGGGGACAAAGGTGAGGCTGTCTTTTGGAGATGTCTCCCCACTGTGCTGGGGGCAGCCTTGGACAGTAGGGCTGCTGAAGAGTGTGCCAGGGGCCGTGCGCTAGTGTCTGGGCCTCACACGTGAGGGTCTTCCATCCCTCCCAGAGCGTGAGGGAGGGCAGCCAGGGTGTGCCTTGCTCTAACTATTCCTTCCAGCTCCTCTCCGCATCTGTCCCTGGGGGACATCTTGAGGGGTGATGTGGTTTTACTAGGAGCATGGGCAGCACAGCAGCAATCCTCAGACTGGGCCTGTGGGAGTGCAGCGCTGTCGGGTGCTGGCACCATCTCGCGTGCCCAGGTAATGGCTTCAGCTGCAGAAAGGTGGTTCTCAACTTCACATGTGACTCTTAACTTGGCAGGTGTGCATAAGAGGGGGATGATGTCTTCTTTCCTTGAGGGTTTTAAGAGCTAAGAGCACTGGCTGCTCTTCCAGGGGACCCAGGTTCAATTCCCAGCACCCACATGGTAGCCCATAACTGTCTGTAACTCCGCTCCAGGGGATCTGGCATTCTTAAACAGACAAACATGCAAGCAAAACACCAATGCACATAAATTAAAAACAAATAAGTTATTAAAAAAAAAAAAAAAAGAGCTGTGGCTGGAGAGATGGCTCAGTGGGTAAGACCACTGGGTGCTCTTTCACAGATCCTGAGTTCAATTCCCAGCAACCACATGGTGGCTCACAACCATCTCTAATGGGATCTGATTCTCTCTTCTGGTATGCATAAAAACAGAGCACTCTAATATACATTAAAAAAAATAAATATTAAAAAAAAAAAAAAGAGCTAAGAACTTCAGAGCATTAGAAATGTTAGCTATAGAGAAGTTTAGGATTCATGAGCAATGGAACTTTGACCTGAGAGGAAGTGATTATCCCAGAGACTGAGCAGATGTTATGTGCTGCTGATGCTGTGAGCCCGAGAAAGGGAAATGGTGAAGGAGTCGTGTGTCCTCCCAAGTCAGTTCCTTTTCCGCCATGTTAGAGTCTTGCTGGCAGGCCTTCCAGCAGTCCCTGAAGTCCACACCCCAGAGGTGTAGCTGTTGAGGTTTTTGTGGGCCTGCCCTGACTGCCCTTAGCCTCCACCAAGGGGAAAATGGTTGCTAGTGCTACAGAGGGCAAGCAAGTGCGGCATGGTGGCTCTGAGCTTAAGACTCTGAAAAGCCAGGGATGTCACATAGTAAATGTTCTATTGTCCCCTGTGAGTGGGGGTCAGCAGTGTCTCTTGCCTGACCTGGAGCTGCCTCGGTGTCTTATTGAGCTCTTATTCTCTGGACTCTTCCTTCTGGGGCCTTCTCTCAAACCACCCTCATCCCCTGACCCGACTGGACATCTCTTGCCTCCCTTGCCCACAGGCCTCATCCAGCTGGCCCAAGACCCCTTTCCCCGGCCCTGCCTCTGCCACCCTACACGGTGAATTGGCTCTTGGGCCTGTGCCCTGCCTATCCTACCGTCAGTTAAGATAACAACACGTTTGGGCCACCTGCCTCCCCGAGGCTCAACCAGTCCCCAGGCCTCCATGCATTGATGGACTCTGCCAGGGAGGGTGTCTGGAGGGCTGACAGCTTCACTTCAGTGAGTCTTCTCACTCAGGGGTCTTTAGATAGTGGGCCTCAGGAATACCTGCTCTTCAGAAAATGGCAGAAGTATTGCCTAGGACAGGGTGGGATGGGGCAAGGACAGCTGTCTGAGGTGCAGATGTAGCTGTTTAACACCTTTACAGCAGCTGCTGCTCACCTGACTGCCGTGGCCCCCATTTCCTCAGCTGATCCTGTCTACAGAGAGCTCTTCCCTGGGACACACTTAAAATGCAAGGGTCGGCAGCCAGCTTGGGACATTTATATCCTGGACTGCAGGCATGGGGGTGGCTCAGACAGGTACTAAGCATTAAAAGGGTGCATGCCCAGGTAGGGTTAGCATGGAGCTAAGATTTAGAGCAGCTGCTCTGGAGTTTGTCAGCTCCCATAGCAAGATGGACCCTCATTTCCTAGAGGTCACTAGCCAGAAACTTGTCCCCAGATTGAGGGTCTAAGGTGGCAGGAAAGTGGATGCTGGCTGGGCAAAGAAGAGCATGCTCCTCACTCTAGCAGTCCCATAGCGAAGGGCACTGGCTTACACTGCCCCTCAGCAGTTTGTCCCAGCTGGACATAGGGGCCCTTCATGACCTAGCTGTACTCCAGTGCCCAGAGTTGCCCTTAGGCATGGCTAGTCAGAATTGACTCAGGGGCCGGCAATGCCAACTTTAACCTGGATGTGCTGTCATGTGTGGCTTCACCCTTGCTTCAGATTCAGTCGGGGTCACATTTGCTTTTGGTGTCATGAAAAGAAAGTTCTTAAGTTTTGGCTGGTGGCAGCCACCTGGCCCTTGTGCCTGAAGCAAGAGGCAAAGTGCCGTATCTGCGGCACCTGTTAGTGAATGGAAAGTGCCCACAAAAAGAGCTGTGTGGGCGGGGACAGGAGGGTGCCTGTGTTGAGGCCCACCTTCCCATCTAGGCTAGATTGTCTGGGCTCTTCCAAGGCCGTGGGGGGTGTCCTGCTTGGCCCCAGTGTTAGCAATTTTGAGTCCATTATTGCCTTGCTGATGGCTATCTGCCTTTGACATTCTAGCCCATCACTAGGGAAATGGTGACTCTGAGTAAGTGAGTGAGTTTATATCTGTCTGTCTGTCTGTCTGTCTGTCTGTCTGTATATGTGTGTGCCTATCTAGTGTACAGGACACAGACACCCTCAGCATTTTGAGCTGAGGACATAGATTCCTTGTTTTCTCATACTTACAAGTCTCAAAATATGTATCTGTGAGGCTTCCAGAATGTGACTTTAAACTTTGGGTTTCCTCCTAATGAAAGCCCCACTGTAGTGATGGGTAATGCTCACGGTGCCTGCTGTCCATGTGGGGGGCTACTGCTGGTAGCCTGAGAGTGCCAGCCTCACAGGTGGGAGTGTGCTGGCAGTGCCCACTGCCTTCTAGAAGGTGCCTCCGTCTTTGTGCGCAGGCTGTGGCAAGCATCTGTCCGCATGGACAGGGTGTGTGGTCTCAGCTGGGCGCTGCCTTCTCAGAATACTGGTGCCCCAGCTCTTCTGGCGCTGGGCAGCATCTGACCGGACCCTGCATTCCATCTCACTGAGCCAGCTGTGGCTGCCGTGGTAGCACATGAGTCTCTGTTAGCATGTGCCGTCGTGAGCATGCTGGTCTGTGCCAGGTGCTGAGCACAGTCTAGAGCTGGGACGCTGCTCCTGTGAGTGTGTGCCAGCATGTGCACTGGACAAAGTCAGGTCCTCTGACCTGAAAGTTGATGACTTTGGGCTTGGGTGGACTCAGTGGTGGAGTGCTTGCCTCATGCACAGGCCGTTAGTCCCATGCCTAATCACACAAACAACTAAAGTCTAGGACTTACCATGGGATCGCCCCAAATCTCTTCATACTCCTGCCTTGGTTAGGAAAGATTATCTGATCAGATCACAGAGGGAAGGTAAAACAAAACCCCTCATCTTGTGGTCTATCTCAGAGATAGGGACGGACATGTTTTCTGTGGTCAGTGATGCCCTGTTGTTACTTTGAGAGGCTGAAGCCCCTGAGAGCTAATATCTATTGTCCTCCTCTATGGTCACAACCACCCAACACTATTTGGGTGTAGATTTCCTGGCTTTTCTAAACTGGAGGATCCTTGGGGAGACAGGCCGCTAAAACGGCATGGGGTTTAGGCTCTCAGGTCCTCAAGAGCATGCCTGGCCATCATCCTGACAACTTCTGTAACCTCAGGACTCTGGGAGAAGAGGAAGGGGGGCTGGAGGTGTTCTGGATCAAGAAGGTGGTATGGAAACATAATGTCAGAGCTGCAGTTGAAGCTTCTCTAGATGGCGGCCGTGTGCACATTTGAAGTGAGAGGAACGGGCTTCTGGGCCCATGAGCGGAGAACCAGTATAAGAGCTGGGTAGGAACAGTCACTATGTCACAGGGGCTCCCAAGCCTAGTTCTGTATGAGACCCTCGGTCTCCTCGCCCGTCTTTGAGCCGTCTTATCCCCAAAGCCCAGTATCTACTTCCCTGTGGCCCAGTTTCCTAAGCCTTGCAGCTTGGGCAGGCAGTGAGGCTCTGGAGGACCAGGGTGGGTCCCTTCCCTCGCGTGGACAGGGCTCTCCAGCTCGTCCCCTCACGGTAGGAGAGGTGAGCGCTCCATGTGCACGCGGCCTGCTTTGTTGGCTGTGATGCATATTTCATGTGCCTTGCTCTCCAGCTGGCTCTGCTGCAAGCCCTGTGAGTGCATCAGGCATTGTCTCTTTATTTATTTATTTTTTATTTTCTCAAATTGCTCGCTTACATGAGAGCCAAACACCAACCAGCAACAATGGGGGTCTATCAACAGATAAATGGCTGCACAGCTGTGGATAATGCCACCCTGTAAGCAGGGCCTTTACACAGAGCTGAGTCTCTTGCTGAAGATGCAGCAGGCAGAGTGTGGGCTGGGGCAGCTCTGACTGGAGCAAACTTGCTTCTCTAAGAAAATTAATTACTTCATCAGTTCTCCACACGCAAGCAGACATTCTGGTCAGCAGACTGCTCTGCCGTTGCCTTCTCTCCTTGTGGCCACCAGCATCCCGGCCACCCCTTTCCACTTCCTTTCCCTGCCCCACACGGAGGTGGGGGGAATTGGTGTCCTTTACCTAATAGCTCTCCCTTCAGGTGGGGATGCCACTTGCCAGGTGTGTGTCCTCCTATGAGATGTGTGTAATGACCCATGGTATCCAGGGCCAGTTAGGGGACAGCTGGTCTTCAAGCCAAAAAGCAGGCTGTTTGCAACCAGCTTGGCTCGCAGGCAGCTTGGCCTCTCAGTGCCCTTCCCCAGTGTTTAATAGTTTTGCCTGTGTGAATGAATGTGCATGCTGGTACATGATGGGTCCAGAAGAGGACTTTGGATCTCCTGAAACTGGAGTTACAGACAGTTGTGAGCTGACATGTGGTTGCTGAAAATCCAAT